GATTAGAAATAGGTGAACCTCAACAAAGAAAAGAAGGAGGCCTGAAAATAGAGTAAACTCCAGTCAGCCAAGGCTTCCCTATGATTGCAGCTTTCAGCTGTGTATGAATGAACGCTGCAAGGAGGAAAACGATCACTGACTTTCTTCTAGTTTTTTTTATTTGTCAGGACAGAGTAATTACATTTCAAAACATTATGATGAAAGTTTTGATAACACTAATCACATTATTTGACCTTTTAAATTTGATCACGGAGACCACAGGCATGAATTTGCAGGACCTGAGCAGAGCAGTGGAGGATAGAGGGTCTTGAAAATGTTTCATCCACAGGGTTGCCATGAGTTGGGATCAATTCAAAGGCAGTTAACAACAAGAAGAGATATTTAGCCTGGTATATCAGAGCTCTGGTGCCTCACTAGACCAGGGTTCTGTAGGACAGTCATGGCAGTGAAAGTGGTGTCAAACTAATTTATTTTTGCAGTGTGGATACAGTGGACAGCCAAAAAGTCAAAGAAATGGATTAACAAATGAATTAAGCCTGAGTCCAACCTTCCCTGGAAGCCAAGATGATGAAACTGAGGCTGTCGTGCTTTGGCCACATCACAAGAAGGCATGACTCACTAGAAAAGACAATAATGCTACGAAATGTAGAAAGCAGCAGAAAGCAGCGATGTGTCAATTGACTTGAACTTAAGTCAGATTCAAGTTGCTTCAGTTACTTGAATTGATTTGGCAAAAATGACACACAGACTTGACTTGAGATTTGAATATTTTTAATGACTGACTTGCTGGTGCAATTCGCTTTGTTCAACAGTCAAGACCCACCCTCAAAGTGCATGGTGCACTTTTCAGAAGGGAACAGCAAATGCTTTAGACAATGGGCTTGAAGCAGAAGGTCTTTCTAAAGCTTTTGAAAAGCTTTAGAAGGCTCTTCTGATGTGTAGCAGAGACAGGCTGCTCAGCAGACCTTAAGCCCCACCTCAAGCCCATTTCTTAACACACTTGCTGTTCTATCTGAAAAATCATAGAATCCTAGAGTTGGAGGAGACCCCAAGGGCCATCCAGTCCAACCTTCTGCCATGCAGTAACTCAATCAAAGCACCCAACAGATGGTCATCCAGCCTCTGTTTAAAGACCTCCAAAGAAGACTTTACCACTGTCTTACTGTGTGTTCCACTGTCTTACTGTGAGGAGGTTCTTCCTAATATTGAGATGGAATCTCTTTTCCTATAGCTTGTATCTGTTGTTCCAAGTCCTGTTCTCTGGAGCAAAGCAGCTTCATTTATATACCACTTCATATCACACTATGGGATGTCTAAGTGGTTTACAACTGTAAGCTCATTGCCCCCCAACAGTTGGGAACTAATTTTAGCGACCTCGGAATGATGCAGGCCTGAGTCTAGCCTGAGCCCTGGCTAGTACTGAACTCGCAACCTTGTGGTCTATGAATGAGTGGCTGCAGTACAGACATTTAACCACTGCGCCACCAGGGCAGCAGAAAACAAGCTTGCTCCCTCCTCAACATGACACCCCTTCAAATAATTAAACATGGCTTAACTGTCTATTCTCCAGGATAAACATAAACAGCTCCCTAAGCCTTTTCTTATAAGGTCTGATTTCCAGACTCTTCACCATTTTGGTCACCCTACTCTGGACACATTCCAACTTGACAACATCCTTTTTGAATTGTGGTGCCCAGTAATAGACACAGTATTCCACATCATATTCTCATGATGTGACCAAAGCAGAACAGAATGGCACTATTATTTCCCTTGATTTATACACTATTCTTCTATTGATGCAGCCTAGAATCACATTGGTTTTTATATGCCACATCACATGCTTGACTCATGTTCAACTTGTGGTCTACTAGGACTCCTAGATCTCTTTCACATGTAGTCTTGTTAAGCCAGGTGTCCCCCATTCTATATCTGTATTTTATTTTTTTGCCCCAAGTGCAGTACCTTACATATCTCCATGTTGAAATTCATTTTGTTAGTTTTGGCCCAGCTTTCTAATCTATTAAGATCATTTTGAATTTTGATCCTGTCCTCTGTAGTATTAGCTATTCCTCCTAATTTGGTGTGATCTGCAAATTTGATAAGCATGCCTTCTATTCCTTCATCCAAGTAGTTGATAAAGATGCTGAATAGCATTGGGCTATTCAGTCTGGGTCTGGTTGTGTAAAAGTCCAGGAGTCAGGGACTGTGAGGAAGGAAAACACTCAAGAAGGAAAGCTCAGAAGGAAAACACTCAAGGCTGAACTCAAATTGAGGAAGTCTCGGGGATAGGTAGTCTGAAGGCTAGTATAGAAATAAGGGTGGAAAGACCACAGTGAATAAGGACAGTGTGAGGGTCCTAAAAGAGAGTATTTGGTGTTTTCTAGCATTAAATAATGTGAAACGATGTATAACAAGCACTAGTGAATGCAATTTTGTAACAAATGAAACATTGTTAACCATCATTCAAATAAAGTTTTCTGTTATTTAATCACAAGCTTGTTTGAAGCTGGAATCTTTATCCATGCTACTAACAAATACAGAAACCAAGTTTGGGGAGTAAACCCATACATATACATAGAAGTGGTCTGGTACATCACATATTGGGGCAGTGGTGGGATAACAATACCCATTGGGCTGCCACATCGAGGAAAGTAAGCAATTTCTTCTTGTTGTTGTTTACTGCCTTCGCGTCGGTCTCGACCCATGGCAACCCTATGGATGAGACATCTCCAGGCCCTCCGTCCTCTACTGCTCTGCCCAGCTTCTGCAAACTCATATTTGTGGTCTCTTTAATAAAATCCATTCACCTAGCATGTGGCCTTCCTCTCTTTCTACTTCCCTCCACCTTTCCTAACATTATTGTCTTTTCCAATGATTCATGCCTTCTGATGATGTGTCCAAAGCATGACAGTAAGTGGTGCCTGTGATAAACTGGACAGAGGACCAAACCCTGTGGCACCCCACTGGTCACTTTTCTCCAGGATGAAGAAGAGGAGCCACTGCTGAGCACCCTTTGGGTTCAGCTGGTCATCCAGTTACAAATCGACTTCATTCTTGCATTGTCTAGCCCACATTCTACTGCAGGGGTAGGCAACCTAAGACCCGGGGGCCGGATGCGGCCCCCCCAAGGCCTTTGGACTGGCCCCAGGCCAGTCCTGCCACTGCTGCCGCCACCCCCCACCATGATGATATTGATTATTGTTGTTATTACTTATTCGTGGGGTTTTCTTGGCAAAATCTCCACAGGGGTTTTGCCATGGCTTTTCTGGGGCTGAGAGAGTGCATGCATATTTTTTTATTTTATTTTATTTTATTTTTTACTTTTATTTATTTATTTATTTATTTATTGTGCTTTGGGCCCCCCAAATTGTCTGAGGGACAGCAACCCGGCCCCCGGCTCAAAAAGGTTGCCTACCCCTGTTCTACTACCTTGTTTATAAGAATGTCATAGGGGACCTTGTCAAAGGCTTTACTGAAATCAAGATCCCTTTCTCTGGGGTATTATCCCAATTTGGTGTTATCTGCAAATTTGATAAGCATGACCTCTATTCCACTGAAAGTTATCCAGCAAGGACTTGAGACTTGACTTGAAACTTGAATACATCACTGGCAGAAAGAGAGGAAGGCCACACTCCAGATGGATAGACTCCATTAGGGAGGCCATGGGCATGAACCTATAAGACCTAAGCAGAGCAAATGGAGGATAAAGGGTCTTGGAGATGCCTCATCCATAGGTCGCCATGAGTCGAGATCGACTCGAAGGCAGTGAACAACAACAAAAGCTAGCCGCTTGCATGTCTCCACGGCACCCAAATGGCGGCCTCCTCCTCGGCCTACGTGAGGGAACCGGAAGTTGAGTTCTTGGATATCGAGCCCTATTCCCTTGCCCTGCAGGCGACGCGCTAGGACACAGCCAGGAAATCTCTATGCCCCCAAGAACCGTGTCATTTCCGCTCCCCGTCGAGCGCCGGAAGTGTCTGTCAGAAGCCGCCGGGAAGATGTCTCCCACCATGGCGGCGGCAGAGGCTGCCAGCCCTGGCTGTCCGGCGGAGCTGCTCTTACAAAGGCTGGAAGCGGCGGGGACTGGCGACGAGGCCGGGATCTGCAGCCTGGAGACGGCCGCGGCGCTCGGCCTGGAGCACCAAGTGCTGGTCGGGGCGGTGAAGAGCCTGCAGGCGCTGGGGGAGGTGAGCGGGCCCGGGGGCGGGGCCTATTCCCAGCTCCGCCCCTTCGCTGCCAACTGTCGGCTGGAGGCTGGCCCCGCCCCTTCTCTTCTCTTCTCTGATTGGCTGAGAGAGCTTTCGGCCTCAGGAGGCAGCTGTGTAGTTAAGAGAGGAAGGAAAAGGTTGTCTGTTGTGTTTGTGTGCCTTCTAGTCTCTTCCGACTTATGGAGACTCTAAGGCCAACCTGTCCTGGGGTTGTTCTTGGGAAGATTTATTCAGAGGAGGTTTGCCACCATGGTTTTCCTGTGAGGCTGAGAGAGTGTGACTTGCTCAAGGTCACACACACACACACACACACACACACACGTTGTTGTTGTGTGCCTTCCAGTTGTTTCTGGCTTAAGACAAACCTATCATGGGGGTTTCTTGACAAGGTTTGTTCAGAGGAGGGTTTGCCATTGCCTTCCCCTGAGGCTGAGAGAGTGTGACTTGCCCAAGGTCTTCCAGTGGCTGAGCAGGCATTCGAACCCTGGTCATAGTCCAACGCTCAAACCCTTTTGCACCTTTCTCCAGTGTGTCAGGAGGAGAAGTTCAACAGGTGTAGCCTCCCTGACAAGCAACACCTGCTGAAATGTCAGTGAAATGCAGTCCAGGCATGGGAGTCCCATCCCTTCCTTCATGTGGCCACCCTTGTTGTTGTTGTGTGGCTCCAAGTCATTTCCGACTTATGGTGGCTCTGTCATGGGGCTTTCTTGGCAAGATGTGTTTAGAGAGGGGGTTTGCCATGGCCATCCTCTGAGGGTGAGAGTGTGCTCAAGATCACTCAGTGGGTTTCCCTGGCTGAGCTGGGATTCGAACCCTGGTCTCCAGAGTCATAGTCCAGTGCTCCAACCGCTATGCCATGCTGCAGCTGCCTGATTTGTAATTGTCTATTAGCAGTTACTGTGTGAAGTCAGACCTAGCAAGCTGGTTTAGAGTAATGGCTTAAATTTTGAATGGGGATAACCAAGTTTTTTTTTAAACTGTCACAGCCATAAAGCCTGTATAGAGCAATTCTGGACAAACTACAGTCTCTTAGTTTAATCCACTTTGCAAGATTCTTCTGAAGATAAAATGGCTCCCTCAGTTCCTGGCAGAAGAGCGATCTACAACTGCCATGATTTTGTCCTTCCTTGCACTCTCTTCTAGGATGTTTGCACAAAGTGGTGTTTCCTTTTTTGCTGAGTTTCTTTTCACCTAGCTCCTGCTTCACCAAGCTGCTGTTTGTTCTGTAGTTGATTTGTTTTTTACAGACATACTACTAGGTCTTTTTGGCTGTTTGGCAGTGATGGCATCCTCTCTGTACATATTCATCCAGTCATGCACACTTTTTTTTAATTGTGCCTTAAAAGCATTTTCTCATGGTGCTCAACCAAAGGAAAAAGATTTAAAAAAAATACACAATGTCAGCTGGCATGCACAATATTGAACTGATTAATAATACATTATTAAAAGTCTAAGAGCTACATTCTACCTCCTCCAAATCATGTCCTGGCTGGGCTGGTCTTTGAGGGATAAGGATTCACTGTATTCAGTGGTAGCAACAATGTATAGTGGTCCCTTCACATTTACTGGGGTTAGGGGGGAAGGACCCCCATGAATGTGGAAAAATCACAAATTAAAAAAAACACTATTCTTTTTACCTAAGAGAACACATCTCTAGGAATCTCCAGGTCCTCCAGAGCAACACTTGCCAGACGTTGATGATAGAATCATGATGGAGGACCTACAAATGCCTGGAGAAGTATTTTCTCTAGGGAATTTTAGGTTCTTCAGCACAACTCTATAGTCAGCTTCTGGCAGGGTTGCGCTGGAGGACCCGGGGATTCCTAGGGAGAACATATTAATGAAAACCGCAAACCATCAAATCCACAAAAGTCAAAGCTGCAAATGTGGAGGGCCAATTGTACTTCTACTCCACTGTGATGTGTTAATGCAAGTCCAGTTCCATCCTGTCTGGACAGCACTTATCTCAGAAAAGGTCCCAGTAAAGATGTCTTCTGAAGGGATGGTGGCAGGAAATGTTACTAATTTCCTGAAGGAATGATGGCAGGAAATGTTACTCCCTGCACATTATTGGAAATCAAAGCTTCCCAAGGCTTTCAGACCATTTTGGGGAAACAAAATATTGAAATATCACAAATATCAAAGCTAAAACTGTTAGAGATTACTTTTCTTTAGCAGAGGAGCCGAAAACATGCCCCGATATGATGTTGTTTCTACTGACAACCTAAAGACTCTAAATCAGGGGTAGGCAACCTTTTTGAGCTGGGGGCTGGGTTGCTGTCCCTCAGACAATTTGGGGGGCCGAAGCACCAAAAATAAATAAATAAATAAATAATAAAAAATTTAAAAAATATTAAAATTAAAAAAATATGCATGCACACTCTCTTAGCCCCAGAAAAGCCATGGCAAAACCCCTGTGGAGATTTTGCCAAGAAAACCCCAAGAACAAGTAACAACAACAATAATCAGTATCATCATGGCGGGAGGTGGCAGTGGTGGCAGCGGTGGCAGGACCGGCCTGGGGCCAGTCCAAAGACCTCGGGGGGCCGCATCCGGCCCCCGGGCCTTAGGTTGCCTACCCCTGCTCTAAATAAACAAGGCAGGCAGTTTCAGGTTACTGAAACATTTACTAATGGCTTTGTATTTACATGGGGGAATCTATATTCTAACTTGCTGATGGACAGATCAGGTAAAAGTAAAGAAGAAGCTTGAGTCTTTAACTACCATCCTGGTCATCTGAAAATGTAGAAGAGAAGACAGACAGAAAAGGAAAGTACAATAACATCCAAAATCCACAAAACAGTGATATTAGGCCAACCAAAATGCACTGATGGAATGTGAATAGATATTCCTTCATACAGAAAACTACCATATGAGAGATAATATTGGGCTGGAACATAATAGCCAGAACGTTTTGTCTGACATATTTTCTATGTGCAAAGATAACATTTTGTTAAAAAGTATTTAAATTATTTGGTAGCATGAATCTAGCTACAGATGGAAATGGTTTAGCAAACAGGTTTATCTTCTCAGGGTGAACTAGTTTTGTGTAGGAAGTACGATGTTTCCATCAACACAGATAGTGGTTCAGATGGACAGGGGGGGAAAGGCTTAAAATATTTGGGGGCTCCTGGGTAGGACCACAGGTATTACTTTCTCTTTCAAATGCTATCTCATTCCTTTCTCTTTTTTCACCCTTCCCCTGCCTCTCAAGCTTCAGCCCCACCCCCTTTCTTTTAGGTAATTTCTACCCTTGAAGATCTTCTCAATATTCTCTTTAGGTGATTGAGGCAGAGCAGCGGACATCCAAGAAGTGGGAGCTGACACCTGAGGGCCACGAAATTGTGCAAGAAGGAAGTCATGAAGTCAGAGTGTTTAACAGCATCCCTTCTGAGGGTCTGGTGCAGAGTGAGCTGATGGTAACATTCCTTCCCATACACTGATTGAAAAAATAGTAGACCTGATTCATCTGTCCTAGTGCTGCAACATTTGACTGTGGCCTCACTTAAATTTCCCCCTTTTTTCCTTCTGAGGATGTCCTTCTCATAAGACATATGGAAATCATGCACTCTTCCAGATGTTGCTAAAGAGGAAATCGCCCTATTTTTCATCATTGTATATGCTAGCTAGGGCTTGTGGAGGTGGCAGGTCAACAACATCTGGAGGACTGTACAATTCTTGCATCTGCTGAACAGATAGATATTTTCTTTTGTGGCTTTTGACTGCGCACCTGTGGGCTGATGTTTCCTTTGTTTCAGTGTAGAAGCTGCCAAGTGGAAAAGTGGGATTCAGCAAAGCAATGTCCAACAAGTGGATCCGGCTAGACAAGAACTCAGAAGGTGGACCCAGGATTTTCCGGGTGGTAGGTCACTTCAGGTCTCTATCCATCTTAAGTATTTGTCTCCGCAGGGCACTGTATATTGCTTTGTGCCCAAAGTCATTGAATAGTAGGGCCTTTGAGAACAACAGAAAAGCTGTTTTAATTTTAAATGCAGAGCTGCCTCCAAATTAGTGGAGTCCAAGTATAATGGGATGGGAATGAAAGCATCAGGGCTCTTTCTTCAAAGGGATTTTCTTCTTTACTAGGTAGAGGCTGTACAGGACTCGGTGAGGGAGAAGCTGCTCCAGGTGCAACATGGAGAGGCTGATAGCCTTGAAGAAAAAGACAAGAATGAACTTAAAAAGCGGAAACTCCTGACAGAAATGTGAGTTTAGATTTCATTACCCCACTCCATATGATCTCTGTTTCTGGGACTCACTTCTGCAAAGACAGGAGTTGTGGGGTTTAGGATTTTGCCAGCGGCTGTACAGGAATGTATCTTGTGGTATGCAAACTCTTCAACAGGAATTTAGATGTGCTTTGTTCAATATAATTAGCAGCAAAAACTGTGTTTGCTTTCAGGACTCTGAAGTCATACTGGATCAAAAAAGGAACTGCTTTCAGTACAAGTGTTGCCAAGCAGGAAACAGATCTCACTCCAGAGATGATTGCCAGGTGAGGAACCACTGTGTTCATACTTTGATTTGTGTTCCAATCTTGCGGTTTCTCACCAGAATTTGCTATTATGTTCTGGATCTGGATCTTGGCTGCAAAGTTCTTCATTTCACAGTGATTCTTCAATATCCCCATAGCTATCACAAAATGATGAAAAGGGTTTTCATAGATCTTATCATCTTTGCAGCCCATTTTGGCATGATTTTTTGCTTCCTGTAACATGCTGATAGCTGCCTTTTTTATAAGCAGCATTTCTCTAGCTGAGTGAAAAGTTATCTGAAAGGAAGCATAGCCTGTTACAAAATTAACTCTCTTTCCCCTTGTTCTCACTCATCTTCCCCAAACTTGCAGTGGTTCTTGGAGAGACTTGAATTTCAAGGCATATAACTTTGAGGCACTGGGCATCATGCCTGAAAGTGGGCATCTCCATCCACTGCTAAAAGTCCGCAGTCAGTTCCGACAGATCTTCCTTGAAATGGGGTATGTATTTCTTTATCTGAAAAATCCTGGTGGGGCTGGGAGGACAACATGTGTTCTCTCATAATATGTGCATTTGAGAACTGAGCCAACCTGGCTTTTGATTTTGATCTCCCACCAGCATGGAATGTGTAATACATTTTCATTAACCTATCATTGTGGAAGATTTCTTGTGAGGATGAAAGTTCTAGCAAAATGCTGCGGCTAGAGCAAATTTCCTCCTCATTGCTTTTCTAGGTTCAAGTTCCTTGATGACTTCTATGCTGGTTGGAGCTGTATTCATATATTTTATCAGAAGCTATTCCTGTGACTGCCTCCTTCAGACTTATCGTTGACTGTTTCTCTCTTTAGTTTTACAGAAATGCCCACCAATAATTTCATTGAGAGCTCCTTCTGGAACTTTGATGCCCTCTTCCAGCCACAGCAGCATCCAGCCAGGGACCAGCATGACACTTTCTTTATAAAAGGTCAGTTGGCTGCCATTCACTAGCCCTTTCATAGCTAGGATATCAAGGCCTCAGGATTTCTTCTTTTATGGGCTGATCACAGCAGAGTCCTGAGTCTTTAGGATGTGGACTTTCAATGTGCAGTGGTGCATTGCAAGAGATCTGCAGCTTTGCTACCATAATTGTCAGACAGCTCCCTTCTTAAATTCTTTCTCCCATGCATTGTTCTGTATCAAGCAGTATTTTTGTGTGCACCTAAAACAGTTTCCATCTGCAGCAGGAAGCTTCTAAGAGTCTTCCAAAGAAATGCATTGTTGGTTGTCCAAGAAAAGGATGAGAGAGACATTTCAGTATGGAGGGGAGGACAGTAGGAGAGCATAGAGTTCAGACTGAACAGATGAAGCAGGAGGTGTTGGGGAGGTATCATGCAGAAGAACAGCATAGCA